TGGTGGGATGGGCCCTGGCTGCCAGGCCCCGCCATCACCCGCCCAGGGAGCCACCGTCCCTCACCTCTGTTCAACCACACGAACACTGCTTCTTTTGGAAGTGCTGCCGACATTTTGGAGTATAGCTCATGACTTTATAATACCAGAGACGGACGATAATGAGTTGTACAACTTAATGCCAATTGGATCTGCTGTTTTCATGCCGTATCATTTTACAGTCTTATTGCAAAAGCGTATGAAAGACACCCTTAAATTCTTCCCACATGCTTTGCTGAAGTAATTCCTGTGTATGTAGCATGGGTCCAACTCAATTTTTAAAATGCTGGTAAAATTTTCCTGGAGTGTTGTTTTAAAGTGAAGCAATACTATCTGTTGGACACGAACACAAATGCTGTAAATATATTCACTCCGGAAATTTAAAAAAAAAATGCTCACAGTATAAATACTTTGAGCACAGGTTTCACTTGCCTTTTCCTTTTTGTCGTGCCAAAGAGACCGAAGAGAGCTCGGCGCTTTCGGAGGGCTCTGCCCGAGACACTGCAGAGAAGGAGGCTACTCCAGATTGTGGCTAATATGAAAATAAAAACAACATCTCTTCTTTTAAAGTAATTATGTATGTGACAACAAGCAGAATGTCAAAGGCATGAAGCCTTCCCTGTTTTCAGGGAGCTGTATTTGAATGTTTTCAGCCAGGATATTTTGGGTGGGGCAGAAGAAAGACAGAGGCTGGACAGTCTTTGTCTGACTGTACGTCATTAAAAGCAAACCAGATGGTTCATTTAACAGTGGTATTAAAGTAAAATGAGTAGAAGTATGCCTAAGGCAATAGTAAAATCTTTAATTTGTCGTTCATCCTCAGCCTTAGCCAGTGATTGATGGACAATTTTATGCAAGTGTCCAGATTAGATTCTGAATGAATCAATTTACTGTAATATTAATACAGTGCAATTGCTGATGCATTTACTTTTTATTGCATAGACTTACTTCTTCACAATTTTGCTTACCTTTGTGGTATTTCTCAGTTCAGTCACCAATTGAAATGAATGCCATTGAGTAACACTAAGTTCCTATGGAAATAAAAAAATCTACCTTTATGTAGAGTGCTAAAAACCTTTGGCTGAAGTAACTTTGTCTTGAGGAATGGTAATACAGCCCAGATGACATGAGTACTGTGTCCCAAGATGTTTTATTCTATCCCATGGCTATCTGCCATGGTTATCTGAGCAACTTTATGCAGAGGATAATGGACACTCTTTTGCAACACAGGTTAGCACACAGAGTGAAGCTATAATATCTTGCATTGGCTAGGATCGGTCCTGCTAAAAGCATCTGCAGTATAATTTATATGCATATCTCATCACAGCAAACTTCCCTCGCAATGAGGTGTCTTAAAATAACTTCAACTGAGTTATTACTACTCAATTCATCCTCATAACTTAACAATGGTGTTAAGTTTTATATACAATAACATCAACTGTATTTTTAAGTGCATCTGGCCTCCAGGCCCTTCTTTTGGCCTCAACTTGCGCCCTTGGTTTCTCCTTTAATTTTATTCCCAATTTATTTTTTTTAACCTGGTTGCAGTAGCAATTTCCCCCTTCATATAGGTCACACAGACAAAATATTGCTTCCAAGATAAACTGACACTTAAACTGTTTTTTTTTTTTATATTTTCCTTACAAATGAATGTTACAAATTTATCATCTATGAGAAACTTTTCTAGGCATATGCTTGTTTTTCTAATATATAAAACCAATTTTTTTTTCTGAAAAGAAGGGAACAAAATCCAAACTATTTTGGCCCAGCTATTAAGCAGTTGATGCTGGTGTTGTAATATAGGCCTATCCCACAAAAACCTTGATGACAAGCAGTTAGAGAACTATCCTAGTTTACTGAAATCAAACAGATTGTAATCATACCTTTTAAGACCCTTTGTGAACCGGGTTCTTGAGGCCACGCATGGTGACACACTGTAAATTCGCTGTTGGTTTGAAGAACAGGCAGTCAGCCAGCCTTAGCTCTCTGTAATGTACACCAGTACATAGGACATGACTGCCTCCAGATCTCGCTCTCAGTGAATAATCCACATGCAGCCTGGCCAACTGAGCACTTAGTTTGTTCCATCATGTCTTAGGAAAGCTGTAAAACTAAAGGTATTGAAGTTGGAAAGTATCTTGTCAGAGGGAATGTTTATTTTCAAAAGTTAGTGCTTTTGCTGAAGGGCTAGAGATTGAACCTTGGATGAATATCACCTCATTCTCAATATTGATGAGTCATTACACCGAGGTATACTTTGTCTTGATATCCAAAGTGACAGTCGATTTTACACAGGTGGATTAATTGTGGAGGAGGAGTGGAAATTTCATAAACTATGGACTTGAAAAAAACCACACAAGTTTCCATTTTTAGCTCTTTAGGTGGTCTGGGCTAGGTAAAGAATATTATGGAAGACAATTCCCAGAGGTTCCAACACCTTTTCTAGCTTCACATTTTTTTGCTACCTTATTCATTGAAACCAGTTTAATTAAAATGATGATAAAAATAAGTTTGGGAGTTCAGCCTGTAACAAGTCTCACAACAGCACTATTCCACGATTCATATGAATTAATGATAGTCTGTTACTGAGGGCTGCTTTTGTCCCAATATGATATAGACAAAGTCAAAGAGGCTTTCAAGGCAAACAAAAGTTGAATTTTTGATGTGAAACAATCATAAAAAATACATAGTTTTAAAGACAAAATTATTTTCATACCTTTTCTGTTGCAGGTTGCCTTTGAGGAAATCCTATTGAAATTACTTCCCTCAGTAGACTTCTAGTCTGACTTCTTAACAAGCAGGTCTAACAGATATTCGTCAGAGGCTGAGGTTATATCTAGTAAATCATATAATTCCTCTAGGCCCTATGGCCAAGTGTATTGGCCAACTGAATGGGACTCAGGAGACCTGAAATCTATTCCAGGTTCCAAGACTAGCGTTCTGAGAAACTTCAAGTTTCTACGCTTTGTTATCCAAAAAACAGAACAAATGGTATTGACTGCTTTTGTGAAGGGTTCTGAAATCTGCTTATGAAAAATGCTGCATACAAGCTACTTATTGGTATTCTTATTATCAAGAGAAAGGGCTCTGTGCAAAATTAAACGGAATGCCTGTTTTGTTCCTGAGGGAGAATATTAAGAAGAGCATGTCAGCACATCTGCTAATGATTAAACATGCTACCGTTTTGATACTTTGTATTATTGGACACTTTTGGAAAGCGTGGTGACAAAGAGTTTTGCCCTCAAAGGCAGACTTGTTGCATGGAGCATGCTCTCTGTAGGGACCATAGGCATAAGTGCACATGGTGGAGCACTGTGCCACCAACTGGGTTGTCAGTAGGCTGCCAGCATGGCACTGATCTGGGCAGAAAGTTGGAGGAAGCCCAAAACATTGACCGTACAGTCATGGTGGAGGCTGCCCTTCCAGCATGGTAGGGGCATAGCCAGGGGTAAAGTCTGTGTGAAGATTTTCTATATTCTTTCAACCTACAAATCTTTCTCTTCTACAAAGAATGCCATCCAGCAATGCTAAGTACTTTGGCACATAGACAACTAGGTATTTTTTTTTCTAACTTGTATGCAGGAAAAGAGAAGCAAAGAGCTGGTTGAGAAGTCCAATTCTCCTGACTCATAAACATGTCTTTTCTATGAAATCAACAATTTCCAGGAATCTGCTACCTAATAGATTAATTTTTTCCCATTAATTTCATCACCTATGCCCCGACCTTCAAAGTCATTTTAATGTTTCATTTTTTTAATTTTTATTTTCTCTAATGTAACAACAAAAAAAATTGTAGTTGACTAGCCTTGATTTTAAGGTCAGAAGGGATAAATAAACCTTTATCAAAGGAACAGCCATGAGAGTATGATTCAATCGGTCATACCTTGTGTGTGTGCTAAGCAGCATTTCAAGAGATGCGGAAATCTCCTGGGAAAAAAAGATTATGAGTTTGGGCAGCTCATGCTTTGTATGCTAATTACCATCATTCTCTTCTTTCCCCTGTCCCCACCATCTTTCAGCTTGGTCCGTGTCCCTTTGAATAAGGCAACTGGTCTCTTCATTGCCAGTGCTGGAATGGTCTAGTGTGCCTGCCTGCCTCTGCTCTTAGTTTGCCACATCTGTGAATGCATGTATTTATCTGCTATTCATGGATGTATTTGGTATGTTACTATGTTGTGCACTGTGTGCTATATTACATAATGTCCACGGGGCGTAAGAGCAGAGCATCCAGAATTTAAACTCAAGAAGTGGCTGGCTTCACCACTTTTTAATTCTTTGCTTACTGCAATTCCTGAATCCAGTGTTTTTCCACTGTAGGATCTTAATGTCCTACATATTCCTGGGATTCAACCTAAGCCACTAACATTTATATCTGATTGATGTATGCTTAGCTTGGGAAAGTGATCTGTAGCTTCAGTTCATGGTTTTCCTCAGGAAATTTCTTATAATAGTGCAGACCATTTTAATTCCAAAATCAAGACACAAATCTATCAATTCACTGCTGCTACTGTGGTATCATCTCATTTCCCAAAAGCAGTGTACAGCCTTTTGGCTGGGTATTAATAATAATAAAGCATGTATCATGGTATCAGTTAAAGTATCTAGAATTGTGTCCCAATTATTTATTTTCCTTTCTGTTTTTTTTTATTCCCATTTCACCACCAGCTGCATTCAGACCAGGATAAAGGAGATGGATCACTTAAGTACATCCTTTCTGGAGATGGAGCAGGAGACCTCTTCATTATCAATGAAAACACTGGTGACATCCAGGCCACAAAGAGACTAGACAGGGAAGAAAAGCCTGTATACATACTCCGTGCCCAGGCTATAAACAGAAGGACTGGAAGACCAGTGGAACCAGAATCTGAGTTCATCATTAAGATCCATGATATCAATGACAATGAGCCAATGTTTACAAAGGACGTTTACAATGCCAGCATTCCCGAAATGTCAGATGTTGGTAGGTGCTAACTAATAATTGATTTCAGTGTCTGGTCTGGGTTCTTTCTGTGGACTTAATGAAGGGTCCAAAGTTTACAGGCTCTGAATACAGACGTCTGCTCTTTGAGTCTGGAGTAAAAGCACCTCAGCCATTTTAAAAAAAAAAAATCTAACTCCAGGAAAATAGTGACAACAGCTTGCTGGAATCAAAGGTGTCAGCTGAGTAAAACCCACTCCCCCTGTTGTACCACAAAAAATACAATCTAGTTTAGCTCACAGTGAAAGTGAGTTGAGCTAAGCTGTGTTACATGACACCTGTAAAGAGTTTAATATGCTTTGTTAACATGATTTAGTAGCAGTGTAATAATATGCTAATCCATGGTCACCTAAGTGTATCCATACTACCCCTAGATCTGTTCAGCAACCCTTCTTTAGTTCAGGAGGGTAAAAAAAAATGGAAAAGGATTGTACACACTTCAGGAGTGCAAACTGTCACCCGAGTCAACTCATCACTGATTCTGATATATGCCATTAACTTCCTATGACCTTTGTTGCTCTTTTCATGCAAAAGAACAAAGCTCCAATGCCCACTGAAGTCCACTGAAATCTTCCTATTGATTTAAAATGTATCAAGCTGTAAGAATCAATCAAGAAAAGAAAAGAAAATAACTTCCTTGAAAGATGATTTTAAGATTGGATCTTCTCCAGAGAAGTTGACAGGTTTTGATTCTTTGTCTCTGATTCTTAGGAAGGTCATTTTGATTTCTTTGTCAGAGAGCGATGGATGGTTAAACTGCAAGAAGCACATTTCTAATCTGAAATAATATCCAGGGAGAGAAGTATTAATTAATCATAATCAAGAATGAGATTAAAATAAAGCTCAAGCAATATGAAAATAAAGACTTTGGGGCATACTTTCTCCTCTCATTCATGGAACTTGTCACATGGATGAAAACTCATCTGGTGAAGAGAGAAGCTAATATTCACATTTTAATATGTGAAGTGAATACTTTATTCACAGATCTGTTTTAAATGCCAAAACCTAAGCTCATTTTTTATGTTTGTTAACACTTTGCTTAGGATTCAACACCATTTCTTTCTCCAGAAGACATATGAAAAAACAGATTTACATTCCTATGTCAAACACCTTGCAAGCATGAGTAAATTTGCAAAAGTATATTCTTGACCTAGATTCAAATTCTGAATGCCTTCAATATCTGGGGAAGGGTGCGTTTCTGGTTTCTTCATAAGAAATATGATGAAGGATCTACATATCCAATCAATAACTGTGTATTTTAATGAACTGAGAATAAGCCAATTATCATTTTGATTTTGTATCTATATGTCCTTTATGAACAGAGAAACTTCTACAAAATAAGAATGTCTCTAACTTTTTGCAACAAGTTTGACCTGAACCTGAACTATGCTTTTTCTACATCATAAACTGTCTTGGCCATGAAAAAAAACCTATGGATTTTTATTTTCTTTAATTTATCATTGTAGGTACCTTTGTTGTGCAAGTCACCGCAACCGATGCTGATGATCCTACATATGGGAACAGTGCTAAAGTTGTCTACAGCATTCTCCAGGGACAACCATATTTCTCCGTTGAATCTGAGACAGGTCAGGTGACCTTATCTGTCATTCTATGACAACATCTATAATTTAAAATGACATACTGAGCCAAGCTAGGACATATTAGACAAAAACTTCAAAGAGATTACATCTTACTCAGTGCAAAATCTGACAAACTTAATAGAGCAATACATCTGGGAACATGACACCTACATTATTTTAATTTTACCAGCAAAGTCTAATAAATACAATTAGTACTGGATGTGCACCAGTTTTCAATCATTTTTAACAAGCAGTGGGTACAGAGACTGCCGTGGATGCTTAAATTAAACCAAATAGGTTGGCTTTTAGAAGAAAACGAGAAACAGGTGGGTGTGGAAAAAAGTGCTTAATCCTCATAGATCTTCATAATGGCTAAATTAAGACCAAGGTTTTGTTCAGGTGGGTTTCTTTTTTTCTCCTTCTGCTTCTTCAAAACTTGTTTAAAGTAATTATAATTTCTGTACATCTGCAAGATATCACTTTAATGCTAATTTTATGAAAGAAATCTTAATTAAGAATAACGATAGAAGAGGTAAAATTGGCTGTTGCACTACACTAGAAGATCATAAACAGAATCCGAAACTCTGAGTTCTGTTTTTGGAAGATGTTTTTTATGGGCTGAATAACAGACAGCTTTGGAACACGTGCATGTAAAACATATGAATTCTGGCTGACTGAATCTGCTGTACCGTTGACTATCTGACTACATCGGCAGTCTCTTCCCAAGATTTATAACAAACTTCTCCAACAAGAAACAAAGGACTTCAAGAAACTCCTTAAATGGGAACATCCATTGCGATAGGTTGCTGGAAGCTAGAGAAATCGGTTCTCCTCAGCATCCTTACAGGAAAAGAATGGATTATCCCAGACAATTAATCAGGTTTTAGCATTGTTTCTTAAATAAATCTTAGAGACTCACGCAGGGAAAAGGAGGGAGAGATTAGATGTCTTAGAAAAACATGAAGTGAAAAAAATGTACATAATTCTGAAAAGAGGGAGAGTCAAAATCAAAGGGAGCTTCTCTTCAAGCATAAGGTATTAGATACTACAAGCAAGGATTTTTGCACTGATGCACTCATTCTGATTTGGACAGTACACTATGTGCTCTTCTATCTAGAGTTATAATAAGGATAATGTAGCTGGGAGTTCACCAGTAATAATCTTTTAGCAAGAGGGTTGTATAGGACACAGAGGGGAAGCAAGGTAAACACAGACTTGATCTTCCTGCCATGGAAATAAATGGCAAAACTCCTAGAGTGAAATAAGTCTCTGTCGAAGCTGCTGTGAATTTTGCCATGGAATTCAATACTTGAATTTCACCCCTTTTGTCTACAAAGGAGTCAGTTCTTAGCCTTAAGAGACCCAGTGAGAATGCAAACATTTTCCTTCATGGTAAATCTAAATTGATTGAATTTCAGTACGAGTTGGTCTCATAACTGATATTTGTGCCTTTGAAGAAGGAAGTGACTGGCAAAATCATTCCAATCAATGTACAAATAGAAATATATATATATACTTGGGCATGCTTGGATGCTCACAATTTTCTTAATTAATTTCTCTTCTCCCATTTAATGTTGTTGTACTGCCTCTTTAATGTTGTCTTGCTGAAGTTAGCTTTTTTTTTTTTTACCACATCTGTCAAAATAAAAATATTGACAGAACAGGAGAGAAAAAATGGAGCACATTATAATGAACAACGAGCCTTTTTCCAGTTCAGTGAGAGACTTTAGCATGGAACTGAAAGGGGGTAAATAGTTATGTAAAATAACACTTCTCACAAATAGGTAGAACATCTTTCTGGGGATGCCACTAATATTGTGTCTGTCACATAGGCAGCAGCCTGAGATATGATATGACAAGTCTGTAATTTAATGTGCCATCTCATAACAGTAAATATTTGTACTGGGCAAAGTTTACTTATTACGCAGAGATTGTTTTGTTCTTTAGGCTGTGGGGTTTTTTCAATAAGAATTTCCATCAAAGTCAGTACCTTACTTGTGAATCACTCCTCTTTAATTTTCATGTTTTCAGGCATTATTAAAACTGCTTTGCTAAACATGGACCGTGAAAACAGGGAGCAATACCAAGTGGTCATCCAGGCTAAGGACATGGGAGGCCAGATGGGCGGATTATCAGGAACCACCACTGTGAACATCACATTGACTGACGTAAACGACAATCCGCCTCGCTTCCCCCAGAGTACGGAATATTTACATTCTATGTCTTTACAGTAGAATGGACAAAAATTTTTTTTTTCACCTCAGATATTGTTTCTGCTGTCATTAACTTACTGAGTATCAGAATTCCTTTAAGAAAGAAAAAGACAATGCACAAGCAAGTAATAGGATCATGCTAAAGTTAATTGCAATAACTGGGAAACATATCTTTAATATTTTTACTCCAATTGCAGTAGATAGTCTGAGGTGAATTAATGTACAGAAACGTTATTTTTCCTACCCATTAAATAGCTTTGACTGATATAATCTATATTTCTTGATCAATATTATTTCTATTAGACCTTGTCATTGACTGGGTTTTAAGATATCTGTTCTAATCTAACACATTTAAGTTTTGAAACATATTTATTTAAGTACGTAAAATGATCCCAAGAGCAATTGTATCAAAATGAATACTTACACCCAGGAAGTATTGGCCTTAATGGATTTTCCTATATTCTTTGCATACAGAAACAAAAGGACGTACATAAATATACCAGATATTCTACCTATTGTCCTTCCCCTGTCTCAGATCACTTGGTAGATATCTGTGTGATATTTAAGGGAATCACTTGAGCCAGATCTCTTAGAAAGTAATTTCTATTAATGACCACTCATGGCCATAAATGATTCAAAGTGACTCAGCTTTAATCCACTTCTGTTTCCCTCTCTTTCTTTCCTTCTCTCTTTCTTTCTTTTCTTCGTTCTTTCTCTCTCTCTTTTTCTTCTTTTTTTCTTTGTCTAACCACTCCTCTGTGTGTGATGTGTGTGTATCACAGTGTCAGTGTGTGTCAAAGTCAAGAGCAGCTGTTAGAGAAAATAATTGCAGATACCATCAGACAAATCAGCAAGCTTTGGCGGTTAAGTCACTGGGAAAGTTATTGGAAGAAACTTGTCATTTAAGTTTAAAGTCTGTTCTTAGCTGTGGGCAAAGCGTTTCCATTTAAATTAGAGCAACTTAAGAAAAAATATAGCACTCTGCCTCCAATGAGTTAATTATACATCTCTGGACATAAGTGTCTTCAATATAAAAGCCAAAGATACAGCTTTATAATACCAACATTCCCCAAGTAGAGTTTTTTCAGAGGAGAATTCAGTGTAGCACGTTATTAATAGGCATTTGGCTGGATTTGGTTTTAGTATTACTAAGCTGCATTGGCCTCTGGCAGTTCTTAATATTTGTCTTTTGGCCTTGAGACATTTTTCATATACAATTTTGATGTGGCCAACAGAGACCCTGATAATGTCTAGATAAATTGGTAAAGATACATGTATGTAGCAAAACAAAATACCCATCTTTCATACAGAAAATAGATAGAAAAATAAGTTACTTTTATCCACATGCAAGTAAGGCAGAAGCTGAAGGCTGTTGCCCCAGGAAGGCCTGAAGACACAGCAACTTGCTTACTCATCTGTGCATGCCCAACATGGACAGTGGGCTGAGAGACAGTGTCCAAAGTACCATGAGACTGACTGACAAAATTTCCTTCTCTGTCTGCTGTAGGCACCTACCAATTCAGAGCTCCTGAGTCTACGCCACCTGACTCACCAGTTGGCAGGATAAAAGCTAATGATGCTGACGTGGATGAAAATGCAGAGATTGAATACAGCATCACTGAGGGGGATGGATATGACATGTTTGGAATTACCACAGACAAGGACACACAGGAAGGAATTATAACTGTCAAAAAGGTACACATCTTCACACACTTAATCCCAGCCTCTGAAATGCCAGTCAAACTTTACCTAGCACTTATTTGTTTTCCATTTTTAGTGTAACATGTGTTGTTTATTAATTTGAATGCTGTCTATTAGGAATCTCTACATCAGCTACGTAAAGTTTCTTTTATACAAGTGTCACGGTTTAACCCCAGTCAGCAACTAAACACCACACAGCTGCTCGCTCACTCCCCTCCCCCCCCCCCCCCCCCCGGGGGGGGAGGGGGGGGAAAACAAAGGGGAA